ACCACATGATCTAGAAATCCCACTTCTGGACATGTATCCAAGGGAATTGAAATCATTGTGCCAAAGAGATAGCTGCACTTTCATGTTCATTTCAGCATTATTCACAATAACCAAGCTATGAAATCAACCTGTGTTCATCATGGGATGAAGGAACAAAAAACGTGGTACACGTGCACAGTGGAATACTTTGCCGTCTTTAAAAAGAGAGAAATTCTGTCATTTGTGACAACATGGATAAACCTGGGAAGAATTATATGAAGGGAAGTAAGCCAGACAGAACAAGTCAAATATTACATGCTCTCACTTATATGTAAAAAAAAAAAAATCAAATTCAAAGAAATGGCACTTAAAATGGTCCTTTCCAGAAGCAGCAGAAGGTGGGTGGGATGGGACTGGTGTGATGCTGATCGAAGAGTAGAAAGTTGTACAGTTAAACAGTAAGAACAAGTTTTAGTTCTCCTACAAATAATGGTGACTACATTAAATAATAATGTGTTGCCTCTCTCACAATTGCTAAAAGAGTAGGTGTTTTACTATCAAAAATGATAAATATGTGAGATGACAGATTTATTAATTTACTTGACTTAATTGTTCCACGATGTAAACATACATGAAAACAACACATTTTATCTCATAAGTATCATTTATCAACTAAAATTCACCTCTTCTGAGAGGTCTTCCTTCACCATCCTATCTGAAGAGGTCCTGGGCCATATGACAGCACTCTGTGTATCCCTGACCCACAACTGCCTCACACCATAGAAGTTTGTCCACTTTGTCATCTTTTTGCCTGGCTGTAGACTCCACTGGGGCCCACAGTGATGAGAGTTACGGGAGAACTCTTGACTGTCATTGAAGTTGGAGGGAAGATTGTAAGATTGTAAGGTTCTTACAAAAAAACTGGGGAATTCCTACAGGTGTGAGGTTGACCAGCGTTTCCAAAGAAGGGTCTGCTAAATAAACTCTAAGGTCCCTTCAATTCTAACATTTTAGTTTTTCCATCCAGTATTTTTTAAATGGAGGAGGCTCAATTCCAGTAGTGATCAGTAGTTTATGTTGGACTAGCCCTCTCCCAGATGATAATTAAAAACTTTGGACAAATATTCAAAAGAAACTATTTGTTGCTAAAGGGAAACAAAAAGTAGATAAAATGTGCAGGGAACTTAACCCTTGAAAGAAGGGAGCCACACCCACTAGGTGGGATTTAAAGCACTTCCCAGACCAGAGCACAGAGCAGCTAGAGCTGCAGTTCTATTGGCTTAACAGCAACTGGGCAAGTAGAAGCAAGTACAATGCATGGAGAGTGAGGAAATATAGAGATGCTCCACCTTTATCTTCCCAAACAGACCAGCTTCCACCAATATTTAAAAAGGGTAATTAATGATAACTAAATGGTGTTCATCTTGGGAATGCAAATTTGATTGAACATTTGAAAATCAATCAATGTATTTTACCACATTAAACAAAAATTTGAAAAAAACATAATACTCTCAAAAGATTTATAAAACCACTTGGGAAATTTAACACTCATAATGATAAAAACTCACAGTCAACTAAAAATATAAGGGAATATGATGAAGTGTATTTATAAAAACCTACAGTTAACATTGCATTAATGGTAAGAGAGAGAATGTTTTTTGCCTAAAGTTGGGAACATGGTAAGGAATCTGTTTTCATCATTTTTGTTTAGTACTGGACATTCTAGCTAGAGTAATAAGAGTAAAAGCATTAAGACTGGAAAGAAGAAAGTAAACATCTCCCTGTTTGTAGATGACATGATTGCTTAAATGGAAAACCGTAAACAATATGTAAACAACTAGTACAAATAATACTTGAATTTATTTAGCATATTAACATATCGCTAATAGATTCACAATATTATTCTAGCACCAAACAAATGGAAAATGAAATTTGAAAAGTATCATTTAAGAAATATCAAAAAAATTCAGAAGAAATTGTTAGGAATAAATGTAACAAATGTATGCAAGACCTCTGTGTTGGAAATAATAAAACATTTCTGAGAAGCTGAAGTAGATTTAATAGAGATTCTACCATTGTCATGAAGTGGAAGACTACATGATGTTAAGATATCACTCAGCTGCAGCTTCTATGCCATTCTAAACAGTATCCCAACAGATTTTTCCAGACACATGGGATGTAAAATGCATAAAAAATAAGACAAAGTTACCCAAGACAAACCTGAGGATGAAAATCTAAGTTGGAGGACTCACTTTACCTGATTTTAAAACTTGCTATAAAGCCACAGTAATCAAGACAAGACAATGTAAGAGCAGAAAATAAATGACTGCAGCATAAGAATGCAGAAGTAGATCCATGCATGGATGATCCTTTGGTGTCAACAAAGCCACTAACAGCCAGGTGCTGGTTAAGGGGAAAAAAAAGCCACTAACAGAATTCAGTGGGCAAAAAATATTTTCATAGGGTGGCATACTGGATAAATGAGTGGGGAAAACAAACTTCATACTGTACTTCACATTACTCATAATTCAAGTTTGAATGGATTATAGACCTAAATAGAAGAGCTATAACTAGAAAGCTGTAAGAAACTGTTAATATATGTGATCTTGGTATTGCCAAAGATTTTTAAGAGTGGACACAGAAATACTAACCATAAATGAAAAATTTGGTAAACTGAGTTTTTGTCTATCAAAACATATGAAGATATATGTAACAGATTTTATACATATATATGTGCATGTGTGAATGTGTATAGATAGACAAAGTATATATAAAATATTCCTAATACCTAAAATATGGAAATGTGGCCTCATCCTATGGTATTCTTTTCTTTTTAGGATGCTTTTATCTCAAATAAATAATGTACTTTTTTTTTTGCAGTACTGGGGCTTGAACTCAGGGCCTACACCTTGATCCATTCCACCAGACCTTTTTTGTGTCAGGTATTTTCGAGATAGGGTCTCGTAAACTATTTGTTCAGCCTGGCTTTGAACTGTGATCCTCCTGATTTCTGCCTCCTGAATAGTTAGGATTATAGGTGTGAGACACTGGTGCCCAGCAACAATTTGATTCTTGTATTCTTGTATCAAGAATGTATAAAGCACTCCTACAAATCAATTATAAAGAGATAAACAGCCCACCTTTAAAAAAATGGGTCAACGACTTGGAACAGGCTTATGAAAAAGATATTATTAATGAATGGCCAGTAAATGAGTGAAAGTTGCACATGTCTTCAGGTACCAGAGAAAGTGTATTGAAAACACAGCAAAATGTTATTTTACATTCACTAGAATGGTTAGAATAGTGACAGCAACCAAATATTGTTAAGGATGGAGAACTGTCAAATGGAGTGTGCCAAAGAGCACGACCACAATGGGAAACTTTTGACAGTTTCTCATTAAGTTATACATATACTTATCCTATGATCTAAGAAATTAACCCCTAGATATTTCCCCAAAGAAAAGATGGATCTGTTAGATAGTCAATCCATCTATCTATCATCGTCACAAAAATATTTAAATAAAAATATCCTTATAGAAATTTTAATTATAATACTGCAAAACTGAAAACATTTCAAATGCCCATCAGCAAAAGAATAAAGTAACAATTTGTGGTTTATCCATCCAGTGGAATGCTATTCAGTGATCAAGAATAGCATAACTATTGATACCTGCAACATTTCAAGTCTCAAAAGCATTATGCTGGTGGAAAGAAATCATTAACAAAAGAGTAATATATATGATTACATTTATATAAAGTTCAAGAATGGGTAAAATAAATGGCGTCACACATCAGATTATTTTCCTATGGGGATATAGACTGACAGAAGGAGTAAAAAAGAACTTTCTGAGATGATCAAATACAATAAACCCTATAGCTATGTATGCATTTACCAATCAAAAAATTGTATGGTTAAGAACTATGTGTTTTATTCTAAGTAAACTTCACTATTGTAGAAATATAAAATAATCTTAACAAAAATATATGGTCAAATTCCATGGGTTAAATAAATAGTCTTTATTATCAATGAGATATTTTGATCTTAAACAATTTGAGTGCTTAAAAACATACTCTGTTCAGTAAAGTATTAATACGTGTGTGTTTTCTCCTATTGCCATAACAAAATACCATTGGCTGAATGGCCTGAACAACCAAAATGTATTTTCTCATAGTTCTGGAGGCTGGAAGTTCACAATCAGGATACTGGCTAGCATGGCAGGGTCTGGTGGAGTCCATGGAGGATTCTCTTCATAGTTCGCAAATGCCTGCCTTTCACCTGTGTCTTCACACGGTGCACGGACATTTCTTCTACAACATTATTTCCATCCCAAGGCTGCCACCCTCATGATGGATCTAATCTTAACTACCTCCCAGAAGTCTCATATCTGAATACCATCACCCCGGGGATTAGGTCTTCAACATATGAATGCTGGGGCCACATTTCAGTCCATGATAATGTGCTTTCTAGAAAACAGAAATAGAAAGATAGGCATGTAATTATGTCACCAAAGTGTAATCACTGCTAATATTTTCTTTCCAAAGTTTGGTTATTTCAACTTTTCCATGGTTGTAGTTTTTCTGTGCCTACAGTTTTGTATCATGATGTTTTTAATTTAGCATTGCAGCGTGAAATGTTTTCTTCCTGAAACCCTTCCTCAGTACTCCTTTTTAAGAGCCACAAAAAGTTCGTTGAGTGACTGTGCTGTAGTTTATTTATTTGCTGTCCTGTGGTTGAATGTTCAGCTACTTTCCAGTATTTTGCTAGTGTAAATAAGGCTGTGGTAAACACATTTGGGTATAAAGCTTTTTCCTGTAACTGAGACTCTTTCCTCGGGACAGAATTCCAGAAAATGGAAATTGTAGGTTAAAAGGGTATGCTTTTAATACATTTTGCTAAATTCCTCTCCAAAAGGACATTCCAATTTACATTTCCACCAGCAGAGGACCAGGAAAGTGCTTTATCTGTTTGCTCTTAAAGGGGAAGAGGTCCACTAATGTGCTTGTTGGCTTGTTTCCAACAGGTAAGCGAATTCTGCTAAAGCTGACTTGTGGTGGTGCGCAATTCCCAGGGCTGCTCTGGCCCAGAGCCCACCAGTCCCCTAGCTGGCAGCCTGTGTTCTGAGCCTCACCTGGACACATCTGAGTGGAACAAGCCATCTCCATCCAACTGCAGCCATGAATTTCCTCCGGAGGCGTCTCTCTGACAGCAGCTTTGTGGCTAACTTGCCCAACGGCTACATGACGGACCTGCAGCGCCCAGAGAGCTCCACCAGCTCCCCTGCCTCCCCGGCCATGGAGAGAAGGCATCCCCAGCCCCTGGCAGCCTCCTTCTCCTCTCCAGGATCCAGTCTTTTCAGTTCCTTCTCCAGTGCCATGAAGCAGACGCCGCAGGGCCCTTCAGGGCTGATGGAGCCTCCTGTTCCCTCCACACCTGTTGTTCAAAGACCCAGGATTCTGTTGGTGATTGATGATGCCCACACAGACTGGTAAGCATGCACGTGCCACCATCTTCCAGGGCAGAGCTGAGGTGGGGGCTGTCTCCTCTTTTGGGGGTGGAGGAAACAGAAGGGAGAGTTACAAGAGGCTCATGTGGTTTCAGAGACTGGCCAGAGTTGTAAGTTAACACTTACCAAGCTGATAACTGTGTACCTGGCCCTCCAGCACCTGTGCCCTAGGTCCCTCTGAGGGCTTTGCACTTAAGGCCCACACTCCCTCACCTGCAAACTCAAAATGTAATAACTCTGGAAACTAGAAAATGTGTTGGCACCCTTTTGGCAGCAAAGCCCAATCTGAAGAAAATTTTGATCCATGCTATGATAATCTGGATTGTGCCACTCAGTGTATCTCCACATAGGACGTGCATCTCAACATGTTTGATCTGGGTGCTGCTGGGAGCCCACGGAAGTATTTTACAACATATGGTGCATAACCATGTGCCCTTTCTAAAAAGGGAAAACTTCTGAAGCCTGAAATACACCTGCCAATATTTGCCAGATTACCATCTTTCAGCCTCAGCTATCCTCTACCCTTTCGGCCTTGTCCAAAATGAGGCTGTTATGGGGGTAAAAGAAATCAATACGGGCTTCACAGTCCTCATCCCAACTCTTGGGACCAGAATGCCTGAGCTTGCCTCCCAGTTCTCCCATAGTCTCCTGGCAGTCTGGCTCCAGAGCCCATCCTCTTACCACCCATGGTGGGCAGAAGTCACAAGCTTGCCAGCCTTTCCCCAGATGGTAAGTTCTACAGGCAGAGGCCTGGCCATGTGCCAAGCTCATTGTAGCAGTCACTCAATAAATGAACATGGAGCACCAGGTCAGTGCAAGATGCAACCTAGGTGCTCAGGTATGGTGCTTGCATGAGGCTCCAGTGGGGGGATAGGTCTCTCCCTTATTTTTTTTCTCCTGAGAAGTGATAAATATTATTAGTCCAACTGATGACAGAATTTGAAGTTCAAGACATTAGCCAAATGTGGGAACATGAAAATACTGCATTCAGGACCGAGGAGTGCATGGGTGGGAAATAGCAGTTCTGACTACGAATCGTGCACGGCCATGGGCGCTGGAGGACAAGCTTGTACGTGTGTTCCGAAGGCTGGTGCATTGTAGGCACTCAGTAAATATAAATAAGTGAGTGCATCCAGATGCTCTGTTATTCTAACGCTCATTTATACACACATTCATCCCTTCAGAAGGTAACTCTGGTTAGGGCCTGAGCCTATACTTTGGAGTTACAATGCATTCTCAATGTACAGTTGCCATTTTAAAGTATGTTCAGCAGACTTTGATGTCAGGCTCGTCCTCACCAGGGTGGTCATGTGAGTCACCTCTGTTCTGGTCCAGTCAGTCATCTTCTGGGTTGCTGGTTTCTTAAAGGCTTTAGTCATGAGACCAGACTCTACCGTGTAAGTATTGATGTAAAACTTTGTCCTCAAGTTCCGCACTTAGAGCTTGGTGTCTGCAGAGGTATTGCTCTAGGCCTTCTTCCCTGGGCAGTGCTGCTTTCTGTCTCCCCAGTAATCCAGTTGTTGTGTGACCCTTGAAGTCTTTGGTTTCTCTTTAACCTGACATCTGACTTGACTTGGATTGTTCTGTGCTTGCTGTGTTATCTCTGGCTAAGAATTTGTCAGGAAAGATGCTTCCTGACTTAATAAATGGCAGTGCAGTGCATATTTAATAATAAAACATCATGGCTCAGCTGTCTGAATTAAAATCCCATCTCTACCCCATAGCAGCTGTATGACCCTTCTAAATTACTGCGCCTAAATACAGTAACTACTTCATAATTTATGTAAGTAGAGTTAACATCTAAATTAATATAAAAGTGCTTAGTCCATGCCTGGTAGCCACTAAGTGCTATTTAAGTGTGCACTGATATTATTGCAGACCCTTTCTATGTGACATTAATCATCTTGACAGCAGTTCCTCATAGGCATGCCCATTTAATATCTTCAGGCCCAATACTGGGCAGACTGGATAGGATTTGTCCTGTTGTGCTAGGGTCCCTATGGGTCATTCTTCCCTGCTAGCTTCTATGGGTGACAAAGATGGATCTTCTTACTCTTCTTATACCCTACCTCTGCCCACATAGTATATGTTCAGTGTGGGGGCACAGTGAATGATGTTGGAATGCAACGAATGGCTCCAGCCAAGAAACATTTACATTTCGGCTTTGTCTACAATCTCTTTAATCCACAGGGATGATCAGAGTACTACATATTTTAGGTTGTACACACCGGTGGAGACACAATCTTGGCCAGATAAGTCTCTCTAAATATATTTCACTCACATAATCCCATGCTCACACTTTAATGGGTCTTGAGAACAACAATGTTTGGGTTTTGATGGGTATCAAGGAAGGGAGGAAACCAAGACTCATTAGCTTACCTGGAAGACGGCTCTGCGTTCACTGGAGGTTGGTAACAGAGACTTCCTGCCACAGGTCCATGAGCTATGCACATAGGAGTCCCCTAGAGCTTTCATGAACTTCCCAACCTCACTGAACCTCACTACATGCCCACCTTTCTCCAAATTGAAGTTTGCTGCCTTGGAATCTCAACCCTGCCAATCATAATGGCACATGTCCATAATACCAGCATTTGGAAGTCTGAAGCAGGAGGATCATGAGTTCGAGGCCCGTCTAGACATATAGTGAAGCTCTGTCTGAAAAAGAAGAGGAAAAAGAGAAAACAAATAAAAAGAATCTCAATCTTGTCTGCAGAATTCCCAAAACATGCCTATCCCACACTACCACAAGCAGCCAGCAGATGGCAGGGTAGCCTCATGGTCCTTAGATAGCCTTGGCAGATCTGGGGCTCCCTCATTGTCAGCCCCTTCTCCAGTCCCTTCTTCATTGTGCAAACTGTTTGGAGAGGAGGAAGCAGTTAAAGGGAAGAAACCAGCTCTCCCAGTTCCTTTCTTTCCTCTTTGAGATGATAATGAGGGGGAGCCATCCATGGTCTCTACTGAGAGTGACCTTCCTCCCCAACAGGAACAATGTGGCCCCTCTTCTACCCTTCTTACTTCCAGACCCTGCTGTCTTCCCCCGCTGGTCCAAGGCCCAGTCTCCTGCAGCCTCAAGGTTTCCTTGTGGGCAGGCAAGGAAGTTGCAGGATCCCACTCTAACCCTCCTGCTAAATCTAGCTGGGAGCTCCTACCATGTGGGCCTCCCAAGGACCATCTGATACCTGACCAGTGACCGAGGAAAGTACTCTGCGTCTTCTGAGGGGAAATAGAGGGTCCCAAGGCCACCTTTGGCTGAGCATTTAGGATGCCACCATCTGTCCTTGGGGTTGCCCTGGAAGTGAGCCCGGCTAAGGTAAGGGTATCTGAGGAGTTTGGGGCCACCCCACTGAAGGCCTGACTCAGTGGCAGTTCTGTCTTCTGGGATGGGGCAGATCATTTAGTCTTGAGAACCACAAGGAAAAGAGGAATTATATTAATTGACTTCAAACTCAGTTTTCTTCAACCCAGTTACCCCTGCACTGATTCCCTTGCCTAGAATTTTCTAGCAGTTTCTCTGGTCTCAGGCCTCCAATCATAACCTCACTTCCTGGTTATCTTACATAGTAATACCAGAATGTCTTCTTTCTGAGACAAATCACCTTCCATTTGCTTCTCCCTCTCTTTATCCCTTATATCCTCCTTTTATAACCTTTGGGCTGGGGGGAGTGGCACCATCCTAAAGTTCAAAGTCATAAGCCTGTCTGCCTTCTTTCTAGTTGTGACTCCAAATCCACTTTCTGCTTTGCTGTTTATTCTGCAGGAACAGCTAACAACATGTAGTTCTCAAGAATACCTTTTTACCTTAGTACTTTCTGTTCCCTGGGTAATACCCTTCCCTATCTTGTTTATCTGACAAATTTCCATTCATTCTTACAAGTCTGCTCGGGTGGCCTGGCACTGTGGTTTACACCTGTAATCCCAGCTACTTTGGGAGACAGAAGTAAGATCATAGTCCAAGACCACCTCAGGCAAAATCGGGAGGGCTTATTTGAAAAAGAACTAAAGTAAAAAGGACTATGGGCATGGCTCAAATGGTAGAGCACTTGCTTAGCAAGAACGAGGCCCTGAGTTCAAGCCCTGGTACTGCCAAAAAAGTAGAAGAAAAAGAGTTTGCTTAGGTGTCACCTCTTTCTTCTGCAAAACCTTCCCTGACACACAGACCCTGCCAACAATGCTGATCACCACCTCTCAGGCATAACTGAACATCCTTCATTGCTTTGCTGTGCCATTGCGGTGTGCATCACACCACAGTATCATGTCTTTTGTGCAAGAACAAGACCTGCTTCTTATTCTTCTTTATATCCCTAGAGCTCAACACACAGGTAGTATCCCATTAGCATATGTCATCTTCCCCTACCCCAGTCCAATCAGGATAATTTTTACTAAGCATAATGGAACCTAAAACTTACTCTAGGGGTCAGCAACATAGAAAACACAGTTGGGAGTCTGTTTTTATTCAACCATGTAAGAAATCTTGGCTGGTTTATTTATCAGAATGCTAGAGTCACTATAAGGTTGGTATTTAAGATTTCAAAAAAAAACTGGGGTATGTGTTAAGAATGTTCCAGAACCCTGGGTTTGATTAACTTGACAAAAAACGACCACAACCATGTAATGTAAGATTGGTTCTACCTCCCTGCTTGTTGCTTCTCTCACCGGCTCTCTGGCCCTGGATGGGCTGGGGAGGAGGGGCACTGGGGCTGGTAGAGAGCTAAGGCTTTGCCCTCAGCCCCTCCCCCACGGTCTCCTGTCTCCTATCACTTGAATGTGGCCTGGTTCCCAAAATGTCTGCTATTCCATCTCAACAATGATCAACTGTTACCTTCTCTTTTGTTCCCCACCCTTCCCTATGGTTTCTAATTTCTTTTATTAGCTGGAAACAAATGAAAAGGGCAACCTTGGTTTGAAACACTCCTCAGCCACCCTCTATCCAGCATGAAGGCACTCAGGCTTCCCCAGCCCATGGAAGCATAGTTAATGGGGCC